GTGCCTTCCTCACTAAGCTTAATCATTTCTAGCTTTTGATTTAAGAGAAATGTGAGTCTTCCTTTCACTTGAACATGTAAAGGTTATTGTAGGGTAGTTAATTGGCCTAATTCAATACCATTGTTTCTCAGGTTATAGGGAGGTCCGAGGAGAAGGGGACAGGGGAACAGCTGGTTGGTGGAGCACATAGAACACACAGAATAGTTATCAATTAATGGGAGTGGTTCATGAAACTCCAAAAGAATTACAGTAGTAATTGTCAAAGATCACTGATCACAGATCACCATAATAAATATAATTATAATGAAAAAGTTTGACATATTGGGAGAATGACCAAAATGTGATACATAGACACAAAGTGGGCACATGCTGTTGGAAAAATAGCACCGACAGACTTGCTCGATGCAGGGTCATCACAAATCTTCAATTTGTAAAAAACACAATATTTGCAAAGCACAATAAAACAGAGTGCAATAAAATGAGGGATGCCAGTAGCCATCTTCCTCCAAAACCTGTTAGTCCATCAGTTGTGACTACTTATGTGAATGGCAACGTTATCCACTTAATCTAGAAATCACAACCAATTTGATTTCTGTTCCTCTCTTTCTACATCCAATTGAATGCACTGCTCTGTCCATTTTCCCTCCAAAGTGTCGCATATCTGCTTCCTATCTATCACCATACTTAAAGCTAACATTACCTGTAGCTTAGAGTATTGTCACAGCCTCCTAACTAGTACTTCCACTCTAATTTACCTTTTAATACTTCCACAGAAAGAATTTCTGCAGATAATAATGGTAGGTAACATTAATTGCCTCTCATATGGCAGGCACTATACCAAGTGCTTCCCATCTCTTTTAATGTTCAGCCACATTATAAAGTTGGAACTATTATTATTTATTTAAATTTTAAAGATGAGGCAAAAGAAATTCGGGGAGGTTAAATAACTTACCAAAGGCCATAGAGCTAGCTCAGAAGTGACACCACCAGGAATCCAGGTCTATCTGGCTTCTAAAATCCCTGCTCATTTTGCTTTCTCTGCTACTAGCTTCATCACAAATCTACTGTTGGGTCTCCATCCATCCCTATTCCATCTGCCTTCCTTCCCCTTCCATTCTTCTAATCCATAGGTCTTTCTTTTAGTTTTACGTATCTCCTTATTTAGTAAGGATTCACTCAGTCATTTCAAGGAAGTCCTTTGCAGCAGCCTCCTCCTCTTTCACTGTGTCCACGTCTGTCCCCAGCCCTCCCTCTCCCTCCTCTTCCCAGCTGCTAAGAGAAGGGTAGGAGAAAGCCATGAGTGTGTGTGCCGGGTGGCTCCAACCCCTGCAGATGCAGATACACAAAACTCTCTGCGTCTCTAGCTTTACTCTGCCTAACTCCCTAGTAGAGCCTAATAAAGCGTTCCTTTATGGTTCTAATATAATGAACCAATTAAGCAAAAAAGTGCTTTGTACAGAGTGCTGTAGAGCGCCCCTACACATGTCAGGTGCAATCACTCAACCTCTTATTATACTTGCGCAGGGCTTCAACTGAATTATTCTGTGAGAAACAGAATAGGTGCTCCACACAGAGAATGCCACATGTGTGTTCGGGGTGAAGGGAGAGCATAGCCCTGGATAACCGGAACTTGGCCCGGGAAATCTCTACTTATCATTACTGCCGAAGTCCCGCTTAAAACTTCACCGGGGTTGTCCAGAGCGAGAAAGACAGGAAGAAAATGGTACAAAGCTGAAAGCCCCCACTTTAAAAATCTCCCTAGGAGGGCTGTCTTCCCCCCAGCTCCCTGGAAGTTCTACGTTTTCGCAGGCGTCCTCCCTCCCACTCTCAAGGCCCTGCCCTGCCGCGCGGGTCTCCTCTGGCCCACCCCTCCGCAGGGTCCCCGCCCCCCGGCCCCCGCCGGCGCGCGGCGGACTACAACTCCCGGCGTGCCGCGCGCGCCCGGCCGGTGCTGGGGCTCGGCGCGAGGCGGCCGCCCGGCTCCGTGCGGGGCAAGCCCCCGGCGCGGCCATGCGGGGAGGTAAGTGATCCGCTCGTGCGGCCGGGGCGTGGGAGCGCGCCCGCCCCGTCCCCTCTCCAGGATGGAAGGAAACGAAGAGTGCCACAGTGAGAGCCGCTCTGCCCTCCCTCGTCTCTGCCGTGTGTCCGGGGCGCCTGCAGCTTGTTGCACCCACGGGCGCGGACTCTGTCACCCTGCGGTGGAACTGAGGGCAGAAGCGCGCCCAGCCCTGCGGAGAGCCGGGGCGCGCCCGGGGCTGCGGGACAGAGCTCGCGGGCGGGCCCGGGGCGGTGGCATGGCTCGGCTAGGCACCCCGCGAGCGCCACACCCCCACACGCCCTTTTCCAAAGACGGGCTTCCCCCGGGAGCCCCCAAACTAAAGACCAGCGAACTGTCTCTCCTTGAAAGTTGTAGCCAGAAACTTTCCCAGCTCCGCCACCGGTGCCGCAACGAGTCGTTTGGCTCTCGGCCGGCGCTGCTCGTCCCAGAGGCTGCCTGGCGTGCTCGGTCTTGTCCTCACGGTCCCTCTCCTGGCTGCTCCTCACTCTCCCATGGGACAACCTTGGGGACGCGTGGAGCCCGGCCCTGCCCTGCGGCGACTTTGGGCTGGTGGTGCCTGGTGGCGGGTCCTTTGGGACAGCGGTAGCTCTCTGGGCGGGTCTGCTCTGCCTGGTGGATGAGTACTGATCAATAAAAGAAGCCAATCAGAGGCCCCAGTTTCCCGCCCTAACTGACCCGCCTCCCCTCCCCCATCTGAGCCCACTTCCGAGTGTGTCCTAAAGTTCTGCTCCAGAATCCTGTGCAAGGGTCTCCAAAGTTCTTTTAGCACATCCCATAATGTGCTGGATAAGAAGGTTGTTTGGCCTTTCCCCCACAACGTCCTCTCTCCCACACACACACCAGGCACACTTGAACACGTTCTACAACCACACACACCACATACTACACCACACACACACACGCCACATAATACACACCACAGACACGTTACACACGTCATTTATGCTACACACTACACACACATCATTTTATCAACAGTAGAGGGTTAATGTCAGTTTGTTGGAGGGCGTGGGTGAGTACTAGTGTATATATTTATATTCACAAATGTCAGTTTATTACCAAAGTTAGAAACTAGCTGGTAAGTGAAACCTCCTGTCGTCATAATTTAGAATGTCTTTGTGGTTCATTTTTTATAAAATGGAATTGACTTCCTACACCACCTTCTGAAACCTTACGCTTGTGTAACTGGCAGACTTTCTATCACAGCAGGCAAGATAGGAGGGGATGTCCTTTTCTACATGTAGGAAGAAATGCTTGGAAAAACTTCACAGAATCCTTTCTCCTGTGAGTGTGCCTAAGGAAGAGTTGGGTGTAACTACATTTTCTTTTCCTCTTTCCCATGTGAGGTGAACATGCTTTTGTTCTGAGCAGTGCTGTCAGGACACCCTCTTCCCCCACCCTGTGGACAGGACTCGCAGTCCAGCACTCTTCTATTCGGATTTGGTTGGAGAATAGTTCAGGAATTTCAGATGAAGTCCAAAAGCTTTATGGAATCTGTTGGTGGAAGAGCTCTTTATCTCTGTAAGAGTCCATCATTTTGATCAGCAGTAGTAAAAGGTCCACATGTGTGACCCACCTCAAAAATGGCATTCAAAAATACTTGAACACTTGGAATTAGATCCTAGATTATTATTTGCTTTTTCAAGTGGGCAATGATAAAGTAGAGAGAACACTCAAAATCTTTCTTAGTCATGATCTTTCAGGAAGTTGAAGATTTCTGATAATCATTCCTGAAATAAGTAAGGGAAAAAAATTTGACCTTGAATTTCATGTTCCAAATTTAGATCTTAGTTGCTGAGGTAGTGCCCTTAAGAATTAATGAAGACAAAGGAGGCAAGCAGCTTTCTCTTCAATTGCCTGAATCTACTCATATTACAGCAACAGATAACTTTTCCCAAGATCCTTCTGGGCAACCTGTATCTTCTGCACTATCTTGAATGGTTTTGTTGACATCTTGACCTAAAAGTATTCAAATGTTGACTGGTGTTTATTTCAATGAAGAGGCAACCATGTAGATTTTCTGAGTATGTGCACCTTTATGGGATGGGATTGTTCTCCTGGAGCAATGGGTTCCCAACCACACAAGAAAACTGAGATTGTCCAGGGATAACTTAAGGAAGAGATTTTATTACCCAGTCTCTCTACTTCACTTCCCAATTTTCTGAATTGGGATTTAGGGTGGTGGTGGGAAAGACTGAATTATCTTCTTATTTATATGTAACTAATATAGTACCAGATACTCATAGGTTATAAGTGTTGGTTGAATTTGTTGAATTATGCTTTTTGTGCAACTGGGATAAACAGTTAAAATTAAACCTCCCAGAACTAATTGTTTTCATCTTGTAGAATAAAGTTTTGTTTGTTTCAGTTGGGATTTTTGCTGGCTTCATTTGGTAGGATGAATGCCAAAATAAAAGAATGTGGGTGTTTTCAGAGGATCCGGTCATCTATTTTGTATCCTCTCTGAAATATGTTACTTCCTGCATAATGAAGTAAAAGGATTTGCTGCTGGGCAAAGCATTCCTTATTCTCACAAAGAGATTACTTAAAAGCCAGCCCTGGGAACTTTGTCCACGAATCTCTTTTAGGAAAAAAGAATGGCACAGGACTGCAGCTTCTGACTGTTCACTGGTTCAGCCCATAAGCACTGGGTTCTTTTTCTTATTTTTTCCCACAGGGGAGAAAAAGAAATAGTTTGAAACATGACATTCATGCTCAAAACAACAGCAGAGCCATATCATGCAGCAACAATGAAGGGAAGGGAGAAAATAAGAGGCTATTGAGACAGCTTGTTTTTCTTTGTGCAAGACAGGTGTAAGGAGAATTCTGCAGGTTTGGGATTCGTGATTCATTCACTTCCACTTAATTGTACTGAAGGTAGTTAGCAAAAGTGAACGGGCACACTGTAGCTTTAAAAAGTCAGCCATGAACCAGAAGGCAGTTGGTGCAGCTTGTGTGTGATTCCTAACGTCATGTTGGCTGAGAGCCAGCCTGGTTTTATTTCACTGTGTCAAATTGTACCTCCTTATTGAATTCCTTTGCCAGCCTACTTTGTGAAAGAAAACATTGGGGTTTCTTTGGCTGTTCTTGATAAGCCTATAAAAAATGATATGTTTTAGTTGCTTATAGGTAGGTTTTCTTTTTACTCTTCCACAAAAAAGAGAAAATAATAGTAATAATAATAATGTAGTATGATGTTGCAGAGTATCATTTGTGAGTGTTTTGTTTTGTTTTGTTTTGTTTTCTGAGATGCTTAGAAAATGGTGAATGTGTAACAGTTTCCAACTGAAGTGAAATCATTCTTTGAGCATGAAGCAGCAGCACTATCTTCCTGTCTACTCTGTAACGGTGTGTGAATGTATGCTAATATCTGTATGTATATTAAATGTTGGATTTCTCTAGTAATGATCTAAGTGGTTTAGCAACTGGAAGTTTGTGTGTGTGTGTATGTGTGTGTGTCAAGAGTGAAGATTATCCCACACTTACAGTGTTATTTGTTAATCATCTACTTCTCTAACAGTGATAAAATCTTGTGAATATACTAAATGATGCACTTGCCATGTCAGAGTAATCCCTAGAGGAGTGCCGAAGTATAAAGTGATTTGAGAGGAAATGTATTTAATTTATGGCTTCAGCTGAATAAGAGCAAACACGTTTTAGGAGTGTTTTGTTTTCTTTCTTTCTTTTTTCTTAAAGCAGTTTTATTCATAGCTTTTTCATCTTGCTAATTGCATATTAATTGTGGAGGGTTTTTATTTTTTTACAGTCCTCATCCTACTAAACAAAAAGACATAGTGATGGATGCTACTCTATCTCCTTAAATGTTTTGATGATTTTTCATAAATCTGATGAGCTGCTACTCTCTCTTACACACACACACACACACACCAGCACCACCTTTCCATGCTTACGGGCTATCTGGCATTTTTGTGATAGCATAGCCATCTCACAGACGGGTTTTTGAGGCTTTCATTGAGAATATGTGAGGTAGGGGAATACTTGCTGACAAAAGCTTCAAGTGCCCTTCTGCATTGCAATGAAAAAAATCTAGGAACAGGGGGAGTGGACAAAAAAACAAATGCAATAAGAAAAAAAAAACCATAGCCCATAGTGGGAGGGGGCAGGAAAAGGGGGATTGTTTTTCTCTACTTTGACTCATTTATGAGTTGCAATGTCTTAAGTGAGAGCTTGGCACCCAGAGGAAGCTGTGCCAGTTCACACAGCACTTGTTTTGAACGCGGATTCAATTTCATTTGCAAATGCTTATTGTCAAGGCAGGGAGTGCCAGTACAGATGAAAGCACCCCAATCCGTCTCCGTCTCCTCCAGTTCTTTAGGTTTAATCACATCTCTCCAATCGCTGAGGGAACTGGAGATTTAAACAAACATACGTGAACTGGTGTGAAGCTGTAAAAGGGACCATTATGTTTCCGATTCAGAATATATATTCTTCTCTCACTTTCTAAGAATTAAACACAAGCTTTTCTCCCTTATTGATTAGTTGCTGAAGTAAAGGAACCCTGCAGCCTTCCCATGCTATCTGTTGACATGGAAAACAAGGAAAATGGCTCTGTCGGTGTAAAAAAGTAAGTGAAGCTGGCTTCTGAGTTCTGCTTCTGCAAACAACAGAGGGACTTGGTTTCTATTTTTATACTTCTTGCTTATATACTACAATACCACAGTTGGGGGGTTGTCTTGGTTTGTCTACACTGGCCATAAGCTCCCTTCTAACCCAACCCTAATTACCTTTTTCTGTATTCCATTTCTAAGACAGAGATGACTAAGACATCAAAATGCACATGAAAGGTTTGTGTAAAAGGCTTTGGAACAAGGACGGTTGAGGATTTCAGCCCTGCATTCTGTATATTGAAACAAAAACTCCGAGCAAGCATAGCCTCTGCCTTCCAAGTCTGTAGGTTACAAGGGTGGGGGCAGAAAATAGAGTTCAAGTTTGTTTGTTTAAATAAAATAACCTCTAACTCTCAAAACTAAGAGCTATAGGATAGGAAGGGGAAAAGCTTCAGCAGGAATACTAAGTTGAACAACTTCTCTGTTCTAATTTTATGAACTGTTCATTGAATGTGAAACATTTCAGTGCATACCATGGTGTTCTATTTTAATGTCTGTTCTCACATTTGAAACTTCTGATTATATGTGTTGTGTAAGAGTTATATGTTTGATTCTTTTAAGTAGGAAAATTCATTTGCGTTATGTAGCATAATATTCTGAAATAAAACAAAAATCTGTGAGTATAAGAAAAAAATGAATATTCTCATTTCAGAGTTATACCAAAGCAATAACCACTTTGATTATAAGGAGAAAGGAAGTACCAAGAGGGTGTTTCTTTCCGTGTCATTTAGTCTAAAATTGCCATCAACTTGAGCTTTGGAGGAAACTAATTAAATGTAATCCATAGAAGCTGTGATATCTAAATGAGGAGACAGTATGCTATATGTTTATGAACAGAAGATATATTTTGCTTCACAGCAAAGTTATAGTAAAATTAACTTAATAAAATCTGTTTTTTTAAATTCTCAAGTAATTTATATATCAGTAATTTATATATAGTGCTATACTGCCAGGCTTATTACCATTCTTGAAATTTGGGGTAGGTAGATATAAGGAGGAATGAAAGAAATGGATGCTTTTTTCTGTATGAGTTGGATCAGTGCTGTCTGACAGTATTTTCAGCAATGATGGAAATGTTCTATATTTGTGCTATCTAAGATGGTAGCAACTAGCCATATAAGGCTCTTAAGAACTTGAAATGTGACTAGTGTAATTGATGAACTGAACTTTTACATAATTTTAAGCAATTTTAAAATTAACATCTTTATTGAAGTATAATTTACATATAACAAATTGCATGTTTAAAGTATAAAATTTAATAACTTTTGATATTTGTGTACACCTATGAAACTACTGCCACAATTAAGATAATGAATATATCCATCACCTCCAGTTTCCTTATAACCTTTTGTAATTTCTCCCTTCTGTCCTTTCCTGTCTCCTTATCCCCAGGCAACCATTCATAAGCTGTCCCTATAAATTAGTTTGTTTTTTCTAGAATTTTGTAGAAATGCATGTGTGTGTATGTGTGTGTGTGTGTGTGTGTATGTATGGTTTCTTCTACTCAGTTTAAGTAATTTGGGATTTATCTATGTTGTGTGTATCAATGGCTCATTATTTTTTATTACTGAGTAATATTTCATTGTATGGATATACAACAAATTGTTTACTGCTTATCATTCACATGATGACAGACATTTGAATTGTTTCCTTTTCTTAGGTATTACAAATAAAGTTGCTTTGATCATGTGCGTACAAGTCTCTGTGTGGACATATGCCTTCATTTCTCTTCCATAAATACTTAGGAGTGGGATTGGCTGGGCTATATGATAGGTATATGTTTAACTTTTTAAGAAACTGCCAAACTATTTTCCAAACTGGTTGTCTCTTTTACATCCCTGTAACAAGTGTGTGAGTGTTCTAGTTGTTCTATGTCCTCACTAACTTGGTATGATCAATCTTTTTTATATTAAACATTATATTAGATGTGGTTTTAATTTTCATTTCCCTAATGCCCAATGATGTGTTAAGCATCTTTTCCTGTGCTTATTTGCCATCCTTGTATCTTCTTAGGTGAAGCATTATTCAAATATTTTGCCCATATTTTTATTGGTTAGGTTTTTTTTTCATATTTGTTATATAGAGAGTTTTGATATATTATGAATATAAGTTCTTTATGATTAGAAAATAGTTTTTCCAAGTATGTGGCTTTTCACTCTTTCTATGTCTTTCAAAGTGCAAAAGTTTTTAAGTTTTTATGAAGTCCCATTTATCAGTTTTTTCTTTAGTGGATAATGTTTTTGGTATTATATTTAAGAAATCTTTGCCTAACCCAAGGTCTCAATGATTTTGCCCTATGTTTTCTTCTAAAAGTTTTATGCTTTTAGGTTTCAGGACTTAGAATTAGGATTTTTGACTTAATTTTTGCTTGTGGCGTGAGATAAGGGTTGAAGTGTTTATTGGTGTTGGTGGTAGTGGTGTTGGTTTTTTGTCTATGGATATCCAATTTTTCTAGCATCATTGGTTCAAACACATCTGTAACTTTGTTGAAAAATAATTGATCATATATCTGTGGGTCTATTTCTAGACTCTATTCTATGCCATTGATCTTTTTTCATATATCTATATGCAAATATAACACTACTGATAACTGTAACTTGAAATCAGGTAATGTTAGCTATCCAACTTTGATCTTCTTGTTTAAGATTTTTTTGATTCTTTACATTTCTACATGAATCTTAGAATCAGCTTGCCAGTTTCCACAAAAAAAAAAAAAATCACCAAACCTGCTGGCATTTCAATTGGCATTGCATTCATTGAATTATAAATCAATTTGGAGAGAGTTGACATTTTAACAAAATCTTGTCTTCCAATAAATGAACATAGTATTTTTCTCAATTTGCTTATATCTTTATTTCTTTCAGCAATGATGTGTAGTTTTCAGTGTACAGGTCTTAATATATTTTTGTCAGTTTCATCTCTACATATTGCATGTTTTTGATGCTATTTTAAGTGGTATTGCTTTTTTAATTTGAATTTCAATTGTGTATTTTAGTGTATAGAAATACAATTAATTTTTGTATCTTGATTTTGTATGCCACAACTGTACTAAACTCGCCTATTTCTTCTAGTAGCTTTTTTGTAGAATTTTATCATATTTTTTTAACATATACAGTTATATCTTATGAATAAAGACAGTTTTACTTCTTCCTTCCCAATCTGGATGCCCTTTATTTCTTTTTCCTTTCTTATTTCACTGAGTAGAATCCCCAGTGAAAAGTTAAAAAAAGTGGCGAGAGGAGGCATCCTTGTTTTGTCCCTCATCTTAGTATTTTGCTTATTTTTGTTCTTCTGTATGTATGTGTCACTTTTTTCTGTACGCTTTTAAGATTTTCTCTTTATCATTGGTGTTTTAAGCAATTTGATTGTGAGACTTGATGTGATTCTCTTCATGTTTCTTGTGCTTGGAGTTGGTTTTGTTTCTTAGATCTGTGTGTGGGCCTAGTTGTCATCAAGTTTGGAAAATTGTCAACCATTTTTTTTTCTAGATATTTTTGGTCCCTCCCCATTCTCCTTTGAGAACTCTAATTATATGTGTATTTATTTCATAATTTGATGTTGTTCCATAATTGGCTGATGCCCTGTTCATTTTAAAAGTTTTTTCCTTTGTGTTTCATTTTGGATAACTTTTATTGCTATGCGTTTAAGTTCACTGATCTTTTCTTCTAAAATATTTAATTTGTTGTTAATCCCACCCATTATATTTTTCATTTCAGATGATGTAGTTTTCCTCTCTAGAAGTTCAACTTGGGTCTTTTTTTATATCTTCCGTGTCTCTACTTAACGTATTCATTATTTCCTCTGGCTTCTTGAACATACAGAATATGGCCATAATAACTTTCTCTGTGTCCTTGTTTACTAATTCTATCATTTGTATAATTTCTTGGTCAGTTTCAATGGATTGATTTTTCTTCTCATTATGGGTTGTACTTTCCTGCTTCTTTGCATGGCTGGTAATTTTTGACTGAATGTCAGACATTGTGAATTTTACCTTGTTGGGTGCTAGATATTGTTTTTACTTCTGTGAATATGCTTGATATTTATACTGTTAGGTTACTTGGAAACCATTTCATCATTTTAAGTCTTGCTTTTCAGTTTTGTTAGGCAGGACCACAGCTGCATTTAGTCTAAGGTTATTTTTTCCCGTCTTTTACTAAGATGTACTTTAACCAATGCTCCTAGGAGAATTAGGAGATTTTGCTCTCTGGTAGGTGGGAAAAGGTACTATTTCCATCCCTGCCTGATCTCCAAGGATTGTTCCCTCTAAACCTGCAAGGTTCATTCCCCACCTCGGGTCATTTCCTCACATGCAGTTGCTGGTCAGGACTCTGCTGAACACTCAGGGGAACGCTTTGCAGACCTCCAGAGTTCTCTCATTATATAGTTCTCTCCTCTCTAGACTGCCCTGGGCACCGCCTAAAAACCTTCCTCGAGGTTTGCCTTGCTTGTTTCCCATCTCTCAGAAATTGTTGTCCTTTACTGCCTATGACCAATGTCTTGAGTCCCATTGTTTCCTATATTATATATGTTTTTTTCAGTTGTTTTAGGCAGCAGGGTAAATATAGCTCCCGTCACTCCATCTTGACTAGAAGTAGAAATTACAATTAGTTTATACAGACATAAGTGGCTACTGGCCAACATGTTAGACAGGTCAGGGTTAGATTATAATGCAGAATCCCTAAAGGCATAAAACATAGGGTCTAAGGCTGTGTAGTGGAAGGGGTTGTTCTATGCATTATCATAGTTTAGAAGCATCTCTGGCTTCTAAACTAGATGCCAGTGGTACCCCTCTCCTGTCTTGGCAATCAAAAATATCTCCAGACATTGCCAAATGTTCACTGAGGGGCAAAATCATCCTCAGTTGAGAACCACTGCTCTGCACTAACTTCCGCATGATGAATGTATAACAGAGTGGCTTCTCGGTATCAGAAACTAGTTTACATATTTGTACTGGTTC